CGGGAGCGCCACCACACTCCCAAGCGGCGCACTGTAGCAGTGAGCCACCGGGCCGGCCTACCGGTCATCTTTGAAAAAAAAAAAATAGGGATCCTTTTGCCAGCTTCCCAGGGTTTTTGTGTTTTAAAAAAAAGAGTGTAAAGAACGGGACTGGGGCTGGCTGGTTAGCTCAGATGGTTAGAGTGTGGAGTTGATAACACCAACGTCAGGGGTTTGGATCCCTGTACCGGCCAGCCATACCCTCCCCCCGGGCACCCCCCAAAAGCAAAAGGAATAGCAGAACCTAGTTCAGGGCTCAAAAAAGTTTATTTCACTTTCTGTCTTTCTTTGGATCTCTCATTTTATTCAACAAACATTTACTGACTGCTTGTTGTAGATACACTACTGGATGCTGTGGAGAATATGAAGATGATACCATCAACAAATGTTAAACTCAATTGTGGGAGTTTTGCTTTCTCAAAAAAATGTTTTTGTTAACACAGTATTGCCTTGGATTTTCAGACTGTGGAGTGTTCTCTGGAGCCTCCTTGTGCACTGTTCTCTCTGCCTGCTCTTCAGAAGTCAGCTAAGACATCATTTCCTCCAGGAGGCCTTGCCTGACACCCCTGTCCACCCCACACTCAGCCCAGACTGGATTGGGTGCCTGTGTGGTGCCATTGCATTACCCTCATCAGAGTTCTTATTACACTGTTTCACAGCTTTCTCTTTACTTGTCTGTTTTCCCCACAGATTGTGACTGTACCTTTTCACTCTGTAGTTGAAGCACAAGAAGTGTTTGTTTAATGAATGACATCCATTTAGGACCTATTTAGACCCTGAGGATAATCCTGTGAATTGGTGAGTTAGAGGGAGTTTTCAGGAGATTTAGCAGACTGATTTTAGCATTCAGGAGTGATCACAAATCTCTGACAGTTCTCATGTAGAGTAGATTAAATTTAATGGTTTGTCCACTCTCCCCCTAACTATACTGAGTTAAAATGTGATAGTTAACTTTATTCTTTTAGCTAGAATATTTCTTTGAATGTGATTGGAGCATGAGATTAAAGTGATTATTGCATAGAATTCTATCTTACAGGAAGCTTGCTATTTTAAGTTCTCACAGAAAATTTTTTTTTGAATTATAGGGTTGTGGACCTTCATCATGTAATAAAATGTAGTAATTATACACCTAAAGACTTTAGAAGTTTATGTGTAAATCGAAATGAGTTTTTTGTAGCACCATTCACTTTAGTGTGCATGCTTGAAAACTGATCTTATGTTTGTAGCTGAGATTTGTCACCTCCAGTTTTTCCTCCTCTGCCATTTTTAACAGCACTGGCTCTGGCCCTTAATGTTGATTTCAGTATGCTGCGTCGAAAACCAACACGCCTGGAGCTAAAGCTTGATGACATTGAAGAGTTTGAGAGCATTCGAAAGGACCTGGAGGTAAGAGTACAAGTTTCAAACCCTTAGGAATATTTAAAACAATAACTAACTTCTTAACTCCAGAGTCTTATACCAACAGTTTATTTGAAATCTCTATTTGGATGCTTTACAGGCATCTCAAACTTAATCTGTTAGTTTCCTATGGCTGCCATAACAAAGAACCACAATCTTGGTGGCTTAAGACCACAAAAATTTATTCTTTCACAGTTCTGCAGGCCAGAAGTCTGAAATCAGTATCACTGGGCTGAAGTCAAGGTGTTAGCAGGGTTACACTTCCTTTTGGGGGCTCTAGGGGAAAATCCATTCCTTGGCTCTTCTAACTTTTGGTGGCTATTGACAATCCTTGACTTGGGGCTGCACCACTCCAATCTCTGCCTCCACGGTCCCATTGCTTTCTCCTCTTCTGTCTGTGAAATCTCCCTTTGCCTCTCTTTTATAAGGCTTACCTGGATAGTCCAGGATAATACCCCCATCTCAAGATACTTAGTTTAATCACATCTGCAAAGACCATTTATAGGTTCCAGGAATTAGAACCCAATGGCTTTGGGGGCCAGTATTCAGCCTGCTACCCAAACACTCTCAATTTTCCCCTCAAACCGGTTATTTCCACTCTCTGCATCCCCCTCACCAACCCCCAGTCTTTTCCATCTCAGTATCTATCCAGTTGCTCAGGACAGAAACCTAGCAGTCATTCTGTAGTCCTTTCTCCTCACCTTTTATATTCAATCTGTCTGTAAATCCTTTGATTCTACTTCCAGAATATGTCTAGAATCTACCTGTACCTTTTCACTTCCACTTTTATTGCCCTACTGCAAGTAACTCTTCTACTGCAATTTTAATAGCATCCTAAATGGTATTTGTACTTCCATTTTTGTCTCTTCAGCCTATTCTCCATCAGGTATCTAGAATGATCTTTAAAATTTTTCAGATCATGTTATTCCCTTTTAAAATTCCTCAGTGCTTTCCTGCACTTAGAGTAAAATCGGAATTCCTTATGCAGGTCTACAAGATTTTGTATGTTCTAGCCCCTATCCAGTTTCACCTCATGTCACTCTTTGCCTTGCCCTCTATACCCCAGCCACACTGGCTTTCTTTCATTTTTTTGACATGCCAAACTACTTATCACTAACATAGCCTTTGCACATATTATTTCCCTCTGCCTGGACTGCTCCCCTTTTCTTCCAGTCTTGTATTAAATGTTGCATTCTCAGTCTGAGAGGCCTCTCTTGACCCTATCTAAGTGGTGTGTCACTCTTATCCATGCTGTCTCCAACTCATTAGGTTCTCACAAAACTATATTTTTTTTCATAGCACTTATTATAACTTACAATGATATATTGGTTTGTTTATTATAAAGTCATTTACA